TGACACGAAATGAAATCATGAAAGATATGTCACCTCATGGGTAGGACACTCCGCTCAGGATGAGCAAAGGTAGTTTCAGAGTATAAAAAAATGGAATACAACATATGTTTCAGACAACAGAGAAACCATCCCATAAATTTTGGTACCTCCAAATTATGGAACACAGTGCAGCAATTAAAATCATGTTTTAGGAGAATATGTTATATAATGTTTACAATACGTGGATTGCATATATGTGTGTGTGTGTGTGTGTGTGTGTGTATGCACGTGCACGCACAGACAGAATATGCAGTATAATTCTGATTTTGTAAAGGAAAAATTGAACAGAGTGAATAGACTGGGATAAAATGCACCAAAATATTGAAACTAATGGCTCCTGAGAGGTGATCAAATCCCAGATAATTGTCACTTTCATCATTGTGATTTTCTGTGTTTTTTAATCTTTATATCATGAATATGTATTCTTTTTACAATCATGCAGAGCATGTTACATTTGGAAAGAATAAACTGCAAAGCCCTTCCAATAATAATGGAAATGTCTTAACACATGAAAAAATTAGATGATGTGGAAAGAAAAGAGTTTCAAGAAAAGGAAAATCAGTACGAAGTCAGACCTCATTAACTGCTAATGATCTCTGTCAAAAATGTGGTCAGGCAGTGAGTTCACCAAACTGGGGCATTGTCAAGGGCAGAAACCATGTCTTGAGAGTATTCAAATGGTTCACAGTACTGACTACGCCAGGTGACCCGGGTTAGAGTCCTGGCTTGGCTACTTAGCAGCTATAGGACCTGGGATAGAGCCCCTGATTTTCTCTAAGCCTCAGTTTTCTTGTTTGTTCAGAGATTTTTAATATGGGGTAGGGCTGCTCTGAGGAGTCCGTGATAACATGCCTGCCAGGGACCCCATACAGAGCCGCGTCTTTAGTGATGCATCACGGATGAATGGACACCCAGCTCTGAGTTCAGAGACCAGAAGAATCTATGGGGCAGGAATGGCCAGGGCAGCCCTAGACAGGGACTGGGTGTGAGGGCTTCCAAGGGCTCTCTCCCTGAGTGATGTATGAAAGAGGCATTAGGATCAGTATCTACAGACCTGGATCCTAATTCCAGCAAGGCATGCAACCTGCCTTAGCCTTGTTTTCTGTTTTGTTTTGTTTTGTTTTTTTTTGCTTAGTCTTTATTTTATTTTATTTTATTATGTTACGTTAGTCACCATACAATACATCATTAGTTTTTGATGTAGCGTTCCATGTTTCATTGGTTTTGTATAACACCCAGTGCTCCATGCAGTACATGTACTCCTTAATACCCGTCACCAGGCTAACCCATCCCCCCACACCCCCTCCTCTCTAACACCCTCAGTTTGTTTCTCAGAGTCCATAGTCTCTCATGGTTCAACTCTCCCTCCGATTTCCCCCCCTTCATTTTTCTCTTCTCCTAATGTCCTCCATGCTATTCCTTATGTTCCACAAATAAGTGAAACCATATGATAACTGTCTTTCTCTGCTTGAATTATTTCACTTAGCATAATCTCCTCCAATCCCATCCATGTGGATGTAAAAGTTGGGTATTCATCCTTACTGATGGCTGAGTAATATTCCATTCCGTATATACGGACCACATCTTCTTTATCCATTCATCTGTTGAAGGGCATCTCAGCTCTCTCCACAGTTTGGCTATCGTGGACAATTCTGCTATGAACATTGGGGTGCATATGGCCCTTCTTTTCACTACATCTGTGTCTTTGGGGTAAATACCCAGGAGTGCAATTGCTGGGTCATAGGGTAGCTCTATTTTTAATTTTTTGAGGAACCTCCACACTGTTTTCCAAAGTGGCTGTACCAATTTGCGTTCCCACTAACAGTGTAAGAGGGTTCCCCTTTCTCCACAGCCACTCCAACATGTGTTGTTTCTTGCCTTGTCAATTTTTGCCATTCTAACTGGTGTAAGGTGGTATCTCAATGTGGTTTTGATTTGAATTTCCCTGATGGCTAATAATGATGAACATTTTTTCAGGTGTGTGTTAGCCATTGGTATGTCTTCTTTGGAGAAGTGTCTGTTCATGTCTTCTGCTCTGTTTTCTTAGTTACAAAATGGTGATGATGTATCTTTCTTTGCCATTCATGGGGTTTGTCATAAAATTCATTCATTCATTTCTTAAATGTCTTTTGAACACTCTACTGTGTGCTAGATAATGTTCTAGGTGCTGGGGTTAGGACAGTGAGAAAGAGAATGATTCCTGTTCTTGCGGAGTTTATAGTGTGAAGGGGGTAATATAATACATAAGATAAATATGTAGAATATAGAGCATTTTAAGTGAAATTTTAAGAACAATGAAGCAGGCACAGGGAATTGGGGGTAGGGGTTAACTTTGGCCCTTGTGCAGGGCAGGGCTCACTGAGAAATGGCATTTGAGCAGATAAATGCCTGATGGAAATGAGGGCACAAGCTGGGCTGGCCTTTGGGAGAAAGGATTGCAGGTAGGGTCATCAGCCAGAGCAAAGGCCCTGTGGCAGCGAGAATAGCAGAGCAGGACGGCTGGAGCAGAGAGAGTGGACAGGGGAACATCAGAAAGAAAAACATAGACACAGGTTTGTGGACGTACCCAGACTGGCTTTTGCCCCAGGCAAGATGGGATGCCCCGGGTGAGTTTTAAGCAGGAGACTGGCATGATCTGATTCACATCTTGCAAGGGGACTCCTGTCTGCTGTTTTGAGCAGGGAGGCCATTTGGGAGGATGTCGTAGGTGAGAGCCGATGGGCAAAGGGTGGTCATGGTGGAGACAGTGAAATGAAAACAGATGGGAACCCACTTTGAAACTGAAATTGCTCCTCGAATGCACGATGGTGTTGAAATATTGCAGAAGGGACCATGTGAATAAAAGCAGAGGGCAGCTAATGTAGGACATGGCTACCAGCTGAACGGGAGGCCGGTCCATGCGGAGAAGTTGGGTAAGATGGAGCAGATGGGGGTGCCCAGGTGGCTCAGTCAGTTAAGCGTCCAGCCCTTGATCTCAGGGTTGTGAGATCAAGCCCTGCATCAGGCTCTGTGCTCAGTGGGGAGTCTGCTTGAGATTCTGTCTCTCCCTCCCTGTCTCTCCCCCAACCCCAACTTGTGCTCGCTTACGCGCTCACACTCTCTAAATCAATCAATCAGTCAATCAATCTTAAAAAAAAGATGGAGCAGATGAACTCCAGGCCCAGGTATGGGCTTGACTGTCAGGACTTGTTTACAACAAGGCAGAACCCAGAAGTATGAGGGGAGGATCACAGTTCTTTATACTTCTCGCGTGTTGAGCGCCTTCACCACCAACCTGTTTGCTAACACTGAGATCCACCTCTGTTTCTCCAGTTCTGCCTGGAAACAATCACTTAACTCCCATGCCATCTGAGATGTGACTTGGAGCAGAGCTTGGTCACGGAGGGATCAAAAATGTGTATGCCTTTCCTGAGGGAGTCCTCCCTCCCTGGAGGGTTCAACATCATCCTTTTGGGATGACCCAGTGCCTTCCAAGCCCACTTCTTGCTAACTGACATGCTTTTCTCCTCAACAATCCTTTAGAAGCATAAAGAGTTTAATCAACCCAAATTAGAGGGGTCTGCCTCATTCCAGGGGTTGTTTTAAATATCACTGCTCTGGGGAGAGCAGAAACAAGTCTTCCCAAGAGGAGAATTTCCTACTAGAAGGACTGTTCTCAAAAACATGTCCTTGGCAGCCCATTAATTATATTTCATTTTGACAGATCTCGAATATAGTTGTTATATCTTTAGGGGGAAAAAGGTGTTGGGTGATTAATTGGTTGATAGGGTATGTTAATTGGATGCTAATTAAATTTAAATCCGATTCATATTTGAAACACTTAATTTAACTCAGGACCAGAAAATTAGAATATTCAGGCTTCTTGAAGGAACTTGTCTTCCTATCTGTCACCTCCAAATGTCTATTGACACTTTCTCCTTGTTTACAAACTTGTTTTTCAAGAGAAGGAATCAGATGGTTCTTAGAGCTTCCAGCTGTAATAAGAAGTGTCAGTTCTCCCAATACATATTTAATTGCTTTATTGAAAAAAAAAAGTACATAGATCTCCACTCCATTACTTAAGTTTGTTCTCAACAAGTCCCATCAGGCTGAGCAGCGGTGTTGTGTGAAGGGACAATTCCAGAAGAGAGTCTGTAGCTAAGTCCAGAAAGGCACGGAGTTGCTCTGCAAGGAGCCTGATGATAACCTGAAGGCAGCGGAAGAGCCCTTCACGGTGCTGGAAGCTTCTGGGAAATTCTCTGAGGGCTGTTGTTCTTATTCCCCCTCGGGGAAAACCCCAGGAGGTGAACTCTCTGAGACCTCTGCTGACAAACTATCCGGTAGATCCTGTTGTATCCCCCAGGTGTGGAAGGGGCCGCCACCCACCCCGATGTGGGAGCCCCAGCCTCCGTGCTTCTGTACTGTTTGACCTAGAGGCAGGTCTACCCAGGATCCAGTTATTTGTAGATTTCCTTGAGGGTAGAGTCCCAGGCCTCGAGACCATGAAGGTTTCTTCTGTTTCTACTCCATAAGCCAAGAAAACTGGGGACCACAAGTATGATAGACGGAGCCTGGGCTCTGAAATTTAACTGCTCCAGATCTGTATCCTGGCTTCACCCTAGAAAAGTGCCTTTGTTCTTCTGAGCCTCAGTGTCCTCATCTGTAAAATGGGAATGATCATACTAATCTTGCACTGATGTTGCACAGATTCAGTGAGGTCATATGCATTTGTAAGGACCTGACACAGGGCACGTTGTAAGGTGTTGAACGCCTGGTCAATGGAGTCACCCTCACTGCCAGCTGGTTCCCGGCATCACCGCTGGTCCTGTAGAATGTCCTGGATCTGGTAGTAACTGCTGCTGTTTGTAGGCAGGTGCACGCTGCACCATTGTTTGTCCTTGACACCTGTTCTTTCTCAGTGCTGGCATCTGAGGTTTGAACCTCCCTCCCTCCCTCCCTCACTAACTGGCTCATCTCTTCAGCTGTCCTGGAAAAGCCTCTAGAAAAGAAGGCTGGCAGAAATTATGGCCCCCCAGGCAACAAGAAGCTTATCTATTTCATCGATGACATGAACATGCCTGAGGTGGACGCCTACGGGACTGTGCAGCCCCACACCATCATCCGGCAGCATCTGGACTATGGCCACTGGTAAGAGCATGCATGCAAAGGGCCTGGGGCCCACGGGACGGTGGGGGTGGGGGCGGGCTGAAGGCAGGGCTGAGGGCTGTTCCACTGGAGCCACAAACCACAGTGGAGTGCTGGTGCCAGATGAGAGTCCCCACGGCAAATCACATTCCTCACGGGACTCTGTTTCCTGGGGAGGTCTTCAGACAGGGGCATTAATGCCTACGTGGGAAGTCTCATCTAAGGGGGAAAAAAAACCCTACTTTTTTCTTCAATATTCATCTCAAAAGTTGCCTTCTCCAAACCCCCAGAGCAGAATTAACCACTCTTGTCCCTCACTGTGGTCCCGTAGCCCCGAGCAGGTACTGGAGTGAGAACAGCTCACACGCTACGGAGCGTGCAGATGTCTGCAGGCCTTAACAGCCTTTGTCTCTTTCGGAACAACTCACAGGGTCTGACACTGTCTCTTGAAACAGCATAATTGTTCATGGCAAAAAGTCTGAACTTGTCAGAAAAAAAAAAAAAGAAATCTGTGATTGGAGACCACTTTGGCTCACCTTCCTGCCCCACATTGAATGAGTTGCTGAGAAAGTGGTCAGTGTGAAGAGGGAGCTCAGAGAGATTGATGGTTGTGATGGTGACCTGAGTTGCCTTTCAGTCATTCCTCACGTCTTTGTGGGATGCCTGCCAGACACCACCATCCGCAGTGTGCACACCAGCACCTGGACTGTACTGGAACCCTTCAGCCCTGCACACAAGTGTTAAGGCAGACTCATGGTCTGATGGACTTAGGTGGGCAGTAGAAGCCCTCTGGAAATCCTGCCCTGTTACTTTGACATGTTTGCATTTCCACTCTCAGCAATGGCTATTTCATACCTCCTGTCTGTCTGCAAGCTTCCCACCCCACTTGCGCTGGTGACCACGGGCGCCATCTTTGTTTCTTGCTTCCACATCTGTACAACTTACTTGCTTCCCCCTGCGTCCCTTTCTCCCTGGTCCTGACACACCTTCCCTGAAGCTGAACCATCACCAGCTTCTTGCTTCTGTTCTCTCCCACCTCCTGCGTTAACTGCCCCTCAAGTCCTGAATGGTTCCTTCTCCTCAATATTGAGACTCACCTAGATTTCCTCTATTGTGTTCAGAAACATCATTTTCTAATTATTGGCCTGTTCTCTCTCCCTACAAAGCCAAATTTCTCTGCTCTGTTTCCACTTCACCACCTTCCCCATCACTGCTCACCCCACCACCTGGTTTCTGTTTCTTCCACTTTACCGAACTATTGTTCTTGCTCACCCCCTAACTCCATTTTTATGTAAGATCTAACAGACCCATTGGGTTGGATCGCTGTCTTTCTTCTTCTCTCTACAGCACTGGACATGGTTGACTGCTCTCTCCTTTTGGAAATACTGACTTACTTTGCCTTCTGGGGCACCATACACCCTGGATTTCTACCCTACCCCTTAGTCCATCTTTATGGTTTCTTTCTCCTACGCTATTCCCGTAGATGTTGGAACCCTCAGGATTTGGGCCTAAGCTCTTGTCCTTTTTCAATCTCTACCAGTGGGTCTGGACTTTTTTTTTTTTTTATAAATATTTTATTTATTGATTTAACTGACAGAGAACTAGAGAAAGAACACAAGCAGGGGGAGTGGGAGAGGGAGAAGCAGGCTTCCCCCTGAGCAGGGAGCCGGATGCGGGGCTCGATCCCAGGACCTTGGGATCATGACCTGAGCCAAAGGCAGCCGCTTAACTGACTGAGCCACCCAGGCACCCCTCTGGACTTTTTTTTTTAACCACCCACACACATGAATGATAGGACACATCCCACCTCACCTTGAAAAGGCACTTACCTGCCTGGACCCTCACCCATCTGTCACTGTGGTTTCTGCCTGTTCCAGGTATGATCAGAGCAAGCTGTCCCTGAAGGAGATCAGGAATGTCCAGTATGTTTCCTGTATGAACCCCACCGCAGGCAGCTTCACCATCAACCCACGGCTTCAGGTATGTGGGAGCTGAGGTCCTGAATCCTGAATAAATTCTATCTTACCAGAATGGATATCACTCAATGACAAGTAATCATTGGCCCTCCCCCCGTTCAGCCTCTGAGAGTGACAAATCATACAGGATGCTGATTTGCATGTTTAGGGGGACAAAGATACTCCTAGACCCAGAACCATGAAGCTTTTTGAGCTGGAAGGGGTCATGGAGTCCATCTGATTTTGCTCATTCTTCAGAGTAGGGAAACTTCAGAGAGATGAAATGACTCTCCTAAGGTCATGTGGATCTTCAGTATCAAATACTTGTTGGGACTCAGATGCTCTGAGTTCAAGTTCTGTTCTCTTCCTACTACTTGCTGACATCTTCGACTAAAGGCCCCAAGCCTGTTACTCCTCCAGACATTTAGATTCAACCCAAGTTTAGGTTCAGTGTGAAAAATGTGACCAGATTATAGAATCCAAAGCCCTTCTAAGAATTCCTCATTATTTTACCCAAATCCCCAGAAGGCGATTTTGACTCTAACTCATGCTCTTAACTCACATGCCTGTTCCCCTGGGCAGCGTCATTTCAGCGTGTTCGTCCTCTCCTTCCCGGGAGCAGACGCCCTGGCCTCCATCTACGGCACCATCTTGACTCAGCACCTAACGTTTGGACACTTCCCAGCGGCCCTGCAGAAATCCAGCCCCCAGCTCATCAATCTGGCCCTGACCTTCCACCAGAAAATTGCCACCACGTTCCTACCCACAGCGATCAAATTCCACTACGTTTTCAACCTCAGAGACTTTGCCAACATTTTCCAGGTGAGTCCCATCTGCTCAGAGATGCCCCAGAAGGCTTAGTGATGGTCTGGTCCCTTCCACTCTTAGTAAAACAGTAGTTAATGCCAAATTCTTAGGCAAAGGCACAGTTCATATGGAGTCATGAGCATAATAAACATGTAAACAGGGTGCCATGGGATCCACGAGGAAGGACGTCAACCAGATAGAGTTATGTTTGTCAATGACAAACGCGCCATTTCCCAGGACGCATTTCTGAGTTGATTCCTTTGGGTTGGAGAAGGCTTGGCATCTTGAAGAAAATGTTATGTAATGATTCCAGCATGCCTTGGAAGGAATGCAGAGAAAACTATTTTGGGGCGCCTGGGTGGCTCAGT